GATAATGACCGAAGTAGATGAGCTCAAATCCGCTGATGTAACCTGCGATTTCGAGAAAGTTGTGCAGTGGAGGATTAAAAATAAACACTTTAATCTAGAGTTTTCCGGTCGCTTCTTATTGCACAGAGTTCCAACTATATAGGTGAGTCATTTGGTAGAGCTGTTGCCTCTCAGCAAGAGAGTTGTTGGATGGAATCCCAGCCAGGGGACCTTTCTGAGTAGAATTTCCATGTTCTATCTGTGCATGTGTGGGTTTTCTCCAGGTACTCTGGTTTCCCACTTCAGATCAAAAACATGACTGTTAGGTTAATTGGCAAGTCTAAATTGTCCCTAGATGTGAGTGAGACAGTGAATGGTTATTTCTCTGTATGTTTCCCTGTGCTTTGTAAAAAAAAAATGTTTTTTATACAGGCTTGTATTATTTTATGTTTTATAAATATTTATCTGCTGAGCTTTGTTTTTATGATGCTGCAGAATTACCACATGTGGTTTTGGGGCCTGTGTTGCCCAATAGGGTCTCTCAGAGTGGCCTGGCCCCATCTACAAAGAGCAGGGGTAGATACAGATTGTTATGTATCTATCAGTAATTTAGAAAAAGCTGTACAGATTTAACCATTTGTTTTACTAATTAGTTTGAATAAATTATTATTTCTTGTAGGCTAAGATGATTTTGTTCTGCAACCTGATGAGGTAAAAAGTGTTTTTCTGTTCAGTGAAAAGCAAATATCAACTTATTAACCTTAAAAGCGCAATCTGTTCAGAGTGACCCAATACAGAGCACACATCAATAAAGATACTGTATATAGTTACACATTTAGATGATCAAAARTAGTCTAGACATATCAACAAAAACTTGAATGTGTAGTGAGGGCTGTCAAACTCATTTTCACTGAGGGCCACATGAGCATTATGGTGGCCTGGCCTCAACACAAAGGACCAGTTGTAATAAAAATTAATGTGACAGTAAAAGACAAAAAATTCTCACAACTAAAACTAGATCAATTAAACTAATAATCATAGAAATGATTTAAACCCTCTCTAGTGTATATAAYGTGATGGTTCAAATGCAGAGTACATGTTTCATCCTGACACAGTTGGTAGAACTGTTGTCTTTTAGCAAGAAGGTTGTCGGATCAAGTCCCGACTGGGGATCTTTCTGGGTGGTTTTTCTCTGGGCACTCCGGTTTCCTCCGTCAAACCAAAAACATGAACGGTGGGCTAACTCGATGGTTCCCAAACTTTTTCTGCCGGCACTTGTTTGGGTTATAAGAACATTTCTACTGCCRAGCAAGGCACTCAAAAATAGTCCAAAAACTCAAGACAAATAGAAATTTTACAAAAACTTTAGCTTTTTGTTATTTCTGCCAAAGGGGTTATGTTTTTATTAGAATCCCTGTTTTGCTCATCAGTTTGTCCAGCAAAAATCT